AGAGTAAATATACATCCTACTTCTCTCTGAATAAACTTCCATTCAAAATTTACCATAATTTTAGAAAAAATGCTCACAGTTGATCACATGCTATCTTTGCATAGCATTCTTTGATATCAAAGCCTTAATTTCAAGGTCACAAAATAAAATGAATTAAAGAATAAAAAATTAAAATTTGAGAAATTCTTGTCCTATATTTAGTATTTATTATTAGACAGTGATACTCATCACAGTGCATTGAAAAAATCATCTTTTCAATTTTCTCTCTCTCACCAGGTTCAACCTGTTGAGCATAGGGTCTCTTTCTCCCTTCTCACCCTGCCTTATACATATTTGGTTATATCCCAGTGGACAGAACATGGCACATAGTAGATATTCAGCAAATGAATTTTCTGAAAATTCTTGAGAGTTTTTTTCAGTTCAGGGTTTTTGTTTGTAGACACAGCTAACTGTAAGTAGCTTTAATTGCGAAAAGCCTCTTTGGTAGAGAGGGAAGAACATAAAAATTCTTAAATATTGTGTGACTTCATTTTCTTGAGCAACTTGAAAGTAAAACTTAGAATGGACATATAAATATTCCATATTGATATGTTTTATGGCTTTTGTAGCTATGATATAGAAGAACTAAAAACAGTATAGCTATTTAATAATAATAATAATAATAGTCAACATTTAGTCAGCCCTTGTAGCAGGAATTATTATGAGTACTTTACATGCAGAATACCATTCAGTGCTGTCAGAAGCCTACGAGCCAATTATTATTAGCATTTCATATTTATAAATGAGGAAATTAAAGCCAAAAAGATTGAGTAACAAGCATAATAAATAGTAGAGGCAGAATTTGAATCCAGGTTGTGCTCTTGGTGGCTAAATTGTATTGCCTCCATTTTTAAATATTGATCTTCCAACAGAGAAATATAAAAGTTACATATATAATCAGTGTCTGTTTTCAAGATGGCTTGTTTTATGAAGAGCTAGTAGGCAGATGTTTCTACATTTACATTAGTTATAAACTCCAAAAGTAAGTTTGCTTATTTTAAATTCAGCTATTCAACAAATGTTAGTTTCACGTGTCACATATACTTGGTTTTAGGGTGGCTGGTTTGGGAATCAAAAGAAGTGTGAATGCCCTAGAAATGATCCCAAAGGGAGATGCAGTCTCATGTGTAGCAAAAATCTGGGAGACAGGTGGAGAACAGTCAGGATTAGGAATTAAAATGTATTAAATAAACACTTAAGAGGTTGTTGGATCATCAAGGTCTGTCTAGCTGATTGACCACTGTGTTGTTCAAGTATTTTAATCAGTCTTGAGAGGAAGTGGTACATATCTCATAAGGGTATGAGAATGGACTCTTGGAAATCCATTGCCTATATTTGAATCATATACTTCTTAATAGGGATTTGTGACACTAAATAAATATAGGTACAGGTAATACATATAATGTTTAAAATAGTACTTAGTGCATGTTAAGTACTATTTAAATGTTTGCTATTATTTTTAGTAATAGTGAAGCTTACTTTAAGCAAAATTAGTATCTAAGAATCTAAATAGATAAAATATATAAAGAAGGTTATTATTTAGATTTAAATAATATTTTTCATTTTGAGAAATAATTTGTAGTAAGATATTTTTAAAATAACGACTCTCATAGGGCAGGTAAGTTATACTACATTCACCAAAGATTATGGTCACAATGTTTTAGATTCGTATTAATTGTATAAAATGTGTATGCCCCACACACATTGGAGCACAATCTATTGATGATAACCTTTGTAAGATTCTGAGATATACAGTCGATTCTCCTTCTTTGGTATTTAATGTTCTATAAAGTTTCTGTGAACACTGAATTAGCAAATATTAAACCATTGCTCCTAGGGGAAATACAGATTGGGTTCCTGCAGGCTTCTGGTCACATTTTCATCGACTGATCAGCATATAACCCTGTGTTATGTATTCCTGCTTAAAGATAATTTACATTAATATATATCATTGATTCGTTAACATTGAACTCACAGCCAACAGCACTACAGCCCATGCCTGGACGAAGCTTAACACGTGTTATTTTCTCTACAAGGTACATAATAGCTTTTTTTTTTCACTTAGGAACACTAGGCAACACATTAGCACTATTCTTAATTGACTATTTTAAAGAGTAAAATTATAAACAAGGAGCACAAAAGTGAAAAAACAATGTGATACCAAAAAGATACCAAAAAGGGATACTTAGCTGTTTATAGAATGAGAGATGAAACAAGAAAGCAGATTGTTGCTTTGTTTTACCTGATCTTGGAATGTGAACATTGGGCAACTTAAATTATTTGCTGTTCTGCATCTGTCCATGAATGACCACAAGTATTGATTTGGGGGATTACAAATAAATTTTACCACGTGGATGAATTTGCAAATAGCAGGATAGACTAGATCATACCTTGCATTGAATGTGCTTTAAGAAGCTGCTTTTATTTAAGCAAGAGAAATGTAACTACCATTAACATTCGTTTTTAATAACAACTCTACATTATAATGTTTACTAAATTGATAATAAGCTGTTAACTTCTTCTTGCCTGGTTCATGCTGTATTTTCTATGTAATGATTTCTTAATAACCCATGTCTATTTGATAACTTATGTATGCCAGGCACCGTTTCAGGCTCTGGATATGCAATAGACAACCAAACAGAAAAAATAACAGCTGTCATGCAGTGTACATTCTATTGGAATAGACAAGTAACAAAGCAAGATAAATAATAAAGTATATATTATGTTAGAAAGTGATAAGTAAAATTTAAAAAAATAATGAATCAGGAAAGGTGGATATGAAATGTTGGCAGATTGTATTCTGGTTATCTTTTGCCCAAAACTTAGTGGTTTATCAAATAACAATTTTATTCTTATCTCTCAGTGTTCTCTGGGATTGATAAGTTTCAACTGGATGGTTCTCCTTTGCTGTCTTTCAGGCGTTGTAATCAGGTGACAGCTGCAGCTGGCATCACCTGAATGATTCTTTACTCACAAGTCTGTTCTCTTTGCTGGAATGTTTGATGAATGGGCTATAGTTGGGCATTTCTCTCTCCATGTAGTCTCTCTACATGGCTAGCCTTTAGGTCTCAGGGTATGTGGTCTTCTTACATGGTGAATGGCTTCCCCTAAGTGAACATTCCCTGAGAGACTGGAGGAAGCTGCCAGTTCTCTTAAAGGCTAAGCCCAGTACTGGAATAAGTGTCACTTCTACCATATTCTTTTAGTCAAAGCAGTCACAGTCCAGCCCAGACTTATGAAGGATTGGAAAAATAGACTCCACTTCCTGATGGCAATTGCATACATGGAGGGAAGGAATTGATGGGTATCTTGAAGACACACTACCGTAGTCTAGGTATTGAAAATTGATAGGATAGCTGTGTAAGACCTGACTGAGAAGGGGCATTCAAAGTGAGACTAGTCAACATGGTTGTATCTTTTTGCAGGTACATTAAGCTGTGTGAGGATAGGCAAAGAGTAGGTGGAGAATTGGATTTAAACAATTACGGTTTTGTAAGATGAGTATGTCAGAGGAGGAGAGAAGTTGACATTGTATGCAAGACAGAGATTATAACGATAAGCAGTAGAACTGGAGGTAGGTAAGCAGGGTAGAGAAGACATGAAGGGTGTAAGAAAGTGAAAAAAATGGCAGATCCCAAAAAACTATTAGAACTAACAAAAGAGTAACAAAGTTGCAGGATACAAGATCAATAGAAATCAACAGTGGGTTTATATATTTTCAATGAGCAATCAAAAATGAAGATAACAAGTCCACTTACAATAGCATTTAAAAGAATAAACTACTTAGGTAAAAACTTTACAAAAGAAGTGTTAAGTCTTGTACACTGACACTGTAAAACATTATTAAATCAAATATCTAAATAAATTGGAAGACATCATGGTCATGATTCAGAAGACTTAATATTGTTAAGAAGGCAGTATTCCTCAAATTGACTTAATGGATTCAGTGTAATCTCTGTCAAAATCCCAACTGGCTTCTTTTCAGGAATTGGCAAGCTGATCCTTAAATTAATGTGGAAATCCAGACGACCCAGGATATCCAAAGTAATCTTGAAAAAAAAAAAGTTGAAAGACTCACACTTCCTGATTTCAAAATATATGACAGAGCAATAGTAATCAAGACAGTATGGTATTGGTGTAAAGGTAGACACTAGATCAATGAGATGTAGTTGAGAGTTCAGGTATAAACCCTCCAATTTGTAATCAGTTGATTTTTGACTGGTAGGAAGACAGTTCAATGACAGAAGGATTGTCTTTTCAACAAATGGTGCTGGGACAGCTGGATGTCTGCATGCAAAAGAATGAAGTTGGAACCCTATATCCTACCATACACAAAAAATTAAATCAAAATGAATCATAGACCTAAATGTAAGAGTTAAAGCTATGAAACTCTTAGAAGAAAACATAGGACTAAATCTTCATGACTTTGGGTTGGGCAATGGTTTCTTAGATTTGACAGCAAAAGCTGAAATAACAAAGGAAAAATTAGCATTAGTACCACATGAGAATTTAACATTTCTGTGCGTCAGAGGACACCATGAAGAAAATGAAAACAACCCACAGAATGGGAGAAAATATTTGCTAATCATATGTCTGACAAGAGACTTGTATCTAGTATATATAAAGAACTTTTACAACTCAATAATAAAAAAGATAGGCCAATTTTAAACTGAGCCAAGGATTTAAATAGACATTTCTCCAAAGAAGACATACTTATGCAAAATTACATAGCAGATTGGTAGAGCTGGGATTCATAGTTGTATCTGGCTCTAAAATGTGTCATTTTCACTATTATACTACCTTGGTGAACTTAAAATCCAACTCTTCACTCTGTCAAGAACTGAGTTCACAGTAGTTTATCACTTGTTTGGAAGAACTTTTGCTGATTTTAGAATATCGGGAAAAATAAGCCTTATTTCTATCAATACTTTCTAAATGATTTTTTCCTTGTTATATATTAGGACGTCTTGCCTGGCTGGTATACTTGGTTGGGACAGTTGTTGGAGGAAGATTAACATATACCAGTACAGATGAACATGATGCTATGGATGGAGAATTATCCTGTCGGTAAGTAGTAGCCATATAATTTACAGAAATTTACTAAGTACTTAGAAATTTAGTTACTGAGCTGCTATTATGAGCTAAAGCATTTTGTACTTGGCCTTTTGGAGAAGGTATTATTTTCGTTTTTACTGATGAGGAAACCAAGGCTTAAGTGATTTGTAAAAGTCATATCTCTAATAAGTAGTATAGTCAAATATATTCATATGAATAATATGAGTAAGCTAGTTTTCCATATATTTTAATTCACTTTTAATAACATCTTTCTTTATAACAAAGTAATACATGTTTTTGTTGAACACTAAAGATTTAAATGAAAAGAAAGTTATATATTAATTTGGAAATAACTACTGTCATTTGGTAAAGATCTTTGAGTCTTTAATTAATGTTTGAGAGTATATGTACATTACATGTGTATTTCTCAACTTTTTTTCAACAAAAATTATACTATAATATTGTTTTGTAAACTAAAATTGGGATTCTAGTACTATATCTAATTCATTTTGGGCTGTTATAAGGATTAAATAAGTTAATAATTTAAAAATAATTTTAAAGTGCTTAGGACAATCAATGCCTGGCAAATAGTAAGCACTATATTACCAAAAGAAACCCCAAAATAATTCTTTTTTAAAAACTCAAACTTAATAATTATTTATAAACATTTTATCTAGACATGACATATTCTAAGCTATACCATAATTTAAATAGGTCCTTGCTTTGGGAATTTTAGGTTGTTTCTCAATTTTTCCTTATTATAAACGTGAATATTCTTTTAGCTATATCTTTATGTAGATCAGAATAATTTTATTAGAGTTAGGTCCTAAAAGCTAAATAGCTGGTTGAATAGTATATAGCACTTTAAAGACTTTCAATACACATTACCAAATGGCCTTCTGGAAAAGTACCAGTTTATCCTCTGAGCCCAAAGGCCATGAGAGGCTATTGGGTTTTTTTTTTTTTTTTTTTTTTTCAGTTGAACACTAGGTGGTAGGATTCTTATCTTTGCCAGTTCATAGGTAACTGATGTCTCATTTTAATTTGTATTTCTTTGTTTACAAGTGGTGTCAAACATTCTTTTCCATTCCTTTTCTTGCCATTTCTATTTTCTCTTTGTGATTTTTTATTATATGTAGATTGTATCATTCACCTGGTTTTCTTTTATGATTATCTTTCCTAATCTATCCGTAAGAGCTCAGTATATATCAGTATATATCAAAGATTGTAATATTTTGCTATTCATTTTCTCCATATGTTTTCATTTGTTTTTGAAATTGCTTTTTTTCTGGCTTTAAACATTTATATATTAAGATCTATGAATTTTTTCTTTCATACTTTTTTCAATGCTCATGTTTAGGAAGGTTGTTCCACACCTGGATAATAAAAATATTCTGCTATATTTTCTCCTGGATCTTTTATGCTTTCAGCTTATATTTAATTTTTAATATATCCAACATTTATTTTGTTATGTACTTTTTCGAAAGTTTCCAAGTGTTAACCAGTTAATGTCAAACCCCACCGTCTACTGATTTGAAATGCTGCATGTATCTTACACAAAATTCTCATGTCTTTTTCTAGGCCTTTCATTCTTCTCCACTGATCTTGGAAGTCTATTAGTACACCACTATCACCCTACTGAAGTCTTTAGTATGATATTCTCCCTCATTATTATTCTTAAATATATTCCTGTTTAATAAATTTGTTGCCATTTTGAATAGAGATTTCTCTCTCATTTCATACCCTTTTTAACCTTTAAACTACCTCATTTCAATGAAATTTGAATCTGAATGGAACATAAATATTTTTAGTTTTTCCTAAGATTTATTATTTCCAATATCAAACCACTTTAAAATATGACTGGGGCATTCTCAAAATGCTTTGATTAATTTTTTTTTTTTTTTTTTTGCGGCACGCGGGCCTCTCACTGTTGTGGCCTCTCCCGTTGAGGAGCACAGGCTGCGGACGCGCAGGCCCAGTGGCCATGGCTTACAGGCCCAGCCACTCCGCTGCATGTAGGATCCTCCCGGACCGGGGCACAAACCCGTGTCCCCTGCATCGGCAGGCGGACTCTCAACCACTGCGCCACCAGGGAAGCCCTGCTTTGATTAATTTTAAACCAAGTGAACAATTTACTTCTGTAACATCTTTTAATATTACATATTTAGTAAAGCTTTTGCTGTAGTTAGTTTGATTTTTTTTTTAATGTTTTCATCATCAAGTAGAGAATTTCCCACTGGCACTATTTTCCTGAAAAATATATATAACGGGAAATAAACAAAAGTATCTGCCAAGTAGAAAATTTTAATTTTTTCTTTAAGCGGCAAACATATTTAGCTCTCAGTAAGATTTGTTTTGTGTTTAGCCTGTCTTCCCTAGGAAACAAAGTCTTAGTTGAAGTTTATGGGCTAAGAGTTTTTTGTGGGGTGGGGAAAAGGATACATTTTCAGGGCAGAAAGAATGAAGGGAAAGTGAGTAAAAGATAAAACAGGTTATGTGTTGATTAGTTGATGAAAATATTGTGACCAGAGTTCCTCGGGAACCTATTCCTGTATTACCTCTAGGAGCAGCGGTTCAGTATTTGCTAATTCAGTTTTTATGGCCATTTTACAGCACATAACTACCATAAATAATGAGAATCAACTATAGAAGGTGGTGCATTACACACCTGGTTGCTCACTTTTACAGGTTTCCCCAGAGACCACATGGAACCAGCTGTGCTTCAAAGCAGTCCATCTTGGTGGTGGTGGGGGGACGGGGACTGAGGGCAAGTGGTTTATATGTTCACTTATTTCTACACCCCATTTTTAGTGGTTGAAATCTACTCCCAGAGAGTATAACTTTTCCATACTTCTTAGTTGTGTTCCCTGGCCTCTTTGAGGAGCTGCTGGGGAAGCCAGAGCTACTATTGGTCCTGTTGGTTGGAGGTAGGGGCTGGCTGGAGCTATGGTAGGCCTTTCCTCCCCCTGAGTGAGGATTTGTAACTGCAGTAGCTGTGCGAGTCTTTACTGGGGCTACAAGGCAAGTGGTTGAGCCCAGGGACAGGAGGAGAGGTGGTGGTGGGGTTGGTGGGGGGTTAAACGGGGCCGAGCAGATTCAAGGTGGGGTATGTACCAGGACTTACATAATTTGCCTAGAGAAAACATAAATATATGTGTTTTAACATACTGAGATTTTAAATTAAATAAGAATGATGTTATATGTAAAATTTTAAAATATCAGTTTCACATGGAGAAATACAGGTAACTAGAACTGTCATACTGTTGCCTTTTGGTGTTGTTATATGATGACCTTTTTAACTCCTGGGAGGACACTACCAAATTGGACGTTGAGGAGCTCCTGCCAAAAATCTGTGTGTTATTTTATCAGAAAAAGGTTGATATTCATAAAAACTTTCAATATTGTGATAATGATATTTAAAACATGTTACTTTAACATTTTTAAATATGCTGCTTTAACTTGGCAAATAAGTATATTTGTGCTCAGGCCACACAATTCTGATTAAATAAAGATAACTTTATAATCATTTCAGTTTCATTAATCATGACCAGAATGTAAACCTCTTGAGAGATTTCCCAGGGATTTTGTCTTGTCCTGTATCCTCTCTAATTTGCTGGTGGCTGCTTCTTTTCGGCTCATTCCTCTCAGTTAGGCCACCCTCTGTTTCTGTTTCTTCATGTTGCTCTCACCTGTTCATCTCTCAATCATTCCTCATTATTCATTGAAGACTTCTGCAGCTAGCTCAGTGTTTTGCTCTCTGCCCCAAACCCTGCTGTGATATAGATGACTTCAACTTCTTTCCCATCCGGTAGGTGTTGCTTCCTCTTCTCTACACAAGACACTTCCAGTGGCTTCCTGTCACACGTGAAACAAATTCCAAATTCTTGCCATAGCCCAAAGTGTACTGTGCTACTTCTCTGACCTTATTTCCTATCCCTTTTCATTCAGCTCAGCTACATACACTGACCTCCTTGCTATTGAGTATTACCAATATGTTTTCGCTTTAGGGACTTTGCGCTTCTCTTCTGCTAGGAATGCTTTCTCCCAGAGGTTTATGTAGTACTCTGTCACTTCAATCAGGTCTGTACCTAGATGTCTCTACCTCTTTTGACCTCCCTATCCAAAATAACATCCTTATCCTACTTTAGTTTTCTTCACAGCACTTATTACCTCTTGATGTTTATTCCACTAAAATAGGGAAGGGATAAGCTTTATCTGCTTTGTTCACTGCTGTATCTTTATCTCATCTGCCTGGCAAAACCTAAACTCTGAAGGAATTCAGTTTTCTCTTAATTTGTCGAGTTATAAAAGAAATTGCACACTTCTTTAGGTAGGTACCATTGCCAACTATCTTTTTTTTTTTTTAACCTTAACTGAGCCCTCAGCATGGCTCAGTGATTTGTGTTATTTTAGTAATTCTTATCTTCTGACTTCCAAACACTTACTGAACTGTTTTCCTTGCATGTGTTGTCCCACATGTACCTCTAATTCAGTGACTAAACTTAAACTCATCTCTTCCATCCACTCCCGGCCCTGACTCTCTTTGTGTGTCTCATCACTGTCCACTCAATTGCCTAGGCTTGAATCCTGGGACTTCTCCTTAACTTTTTCTTTTTTCTCTCACCAGCATCCGTATAGTCATCAAATTCTGTCACTTCTACCTTCTGCTTATCCCAATTAGTCCAGTTATTTCTATTACCCTTGCTGTTTTAACTCCTGTCATCATTTGCCTGGATTCATGCTACAGTTTTATGTGGGCACCTTGTTTCCTCTCTGGCTTTCTAAAATAAAGATTTGATTATGTCTGTGCTTTGCTGAAAGTCTGCAATGACTTTCATTGCTACTGGGATTAAAATCAATGTGATTTATCAGGCTCTTCATAATCTGGGTCCTGCCTGTCTCAGTAGCCTCATCTTGTGCCACTGACTGTCTTATAGCTGTATGGAACTTTTTTTCAGCTCTTAAATGAGCCATGCTTCCCCCCCTGCCCCCCCCCGCCCCTCCCGTCTAGAAAGCTGCACATGCTTTCCCCTTTCTCTTGACACTCTCTGCTCTGTTCCATCCTAGAATGTTAGGAGCTCTCGCTAATTTCTTTGTAGTGTTTATTATAGCACTTGTCATTCCTTATTCTAATTGCTTGTTTTACTGTCTTTCCCTGCATAGGCTATAGATTTCTGGAGGACTGGGAATATATATGTTTTGCTCAGTATTGTATTCTGAACTCCTAATACATACCTGCCATATTGTAGGCCTTCAAATATTTGTTGACTGAATAAGTACTTCCGGAATTGGATATTAAGGGGAATATAAAAGAGTTGATTATCCAAACATTCATTTCTTTATACTTAAAATGGTGTACATATACTTGGATCAAAATTATTTAATATTTATCTTTTTATTCCCTCCATGCTCCAAAGATAATTTAAGATAAAGGTAAAAATAAATGTAGGACAATAAATTGAAACACAAGTGAGTATTGTATATACAATACAAGCTTTGGTCTTATGCACTTATTAGAGGTGGCCACAGATCTTTGAAGGACACTGTGGCAGAGACTACTAGTTGTCTTGTATCTCTTCTTTCCTTCTTCTGCAGTAATAGAATACCTGAAATGTTTTGCTGCGCATTGGCCACCTGAATAAGACTAGATTTACTAGAATCTCTTGCAGCTAGGTATGGTTAAGTGATTATGTTCTGGGCAATTGAATGTAAGTGAATGTGGTACGTGTAACATATATGCACATGGGTGGAGCTGAAGAAGCCATCTTAGACCATAAAGTGATTGGGTGAGTGGAGGCAAGTGTAACAACAAGATGGAAGGAACCTGAGTCCCTGATACACCATGGAGCACCAACTAGTCCTAGAGCATTGCCTTGAATTTTTTTTTTTGCTTGAGAGAAAAATAACATCTGTATTGTTTAAGCCATTGTTTTTGGATTTCAGTCACTTGCAACTGAACTTCTTGTACGACTATCAGAGCTTATTTGACAGATGGATCATGTACCCTTCTGGGAACTCTTTCCTACTCTCCTGTTGGGGATTGTTGGAGTGCCTTTGCAATTCATATCAAGCTGGTGATTTGCATTGCCTCTTAAGCAAATGTGAATCACCAGCTTGATATGAGCTGTAAAGGCACCCCAACAAACTTGGCTATTGGTTTCATGTCTTCCTCAGATTTTTGGAACGTATGTTATTAAAAGAAAATAAAAGTAAACAAGCCATTGCATAGAATCAACAAAGAACCAGAGTAAGAAAAAGGAGGCCCTACTCATAAAGAATTTAACAGCAGGGTATGCTTTAAGTCATTTAAGAAATCACCTGGATCCAGAGATGAAGTTTGGTGTGTGTATCTATTTATTTAACTAAAAATTACTTCAGGAGTCTGTGCATTCACAAATACACAGACTTTAAAAGTGAGCTTTGTCACCTCCTTTCAAAATCAGAGAATAAACACATCTTTTTAGGAAAAACAAACACACCTGGTTGACTCATTCTTAAATTTGATCTTTATAAGCTTTCCTTTATGAATTTTAATAGCATTAAAGATATTTAGTAAGTGAAGGTACTTTTAAATAAGTAGCTTAATTTAGGAATTAATAACTATAAAAATGGTTACCAAAATATTATTTCATAACACTTTGGCAATAAATACCAAGTTTTTTAAAGAAGTTCATTCACTGTAACCTACACATTTTGTTCCTAGAACTCTTTGCTGGTAGGGAATAGGAGAATAATTATATTTCACTGAAATGTAAGTTTGTATTCAAAATGAGATTATTAAAATTTGGTGTAGCCTTAATTTTATACAATGTTTTGGAAAGTTATTTAATAATATGAAAAAAATAATTGGGCAAGATATGTTTAGTGAGACAGTTCAATGGAATAAAATAAACGGTCCAGGAAGTAATATGAATGCATAAATGGACCTAATGTATGTGATAAGGGGGTAATTCAGATTAGTGGGCAAAAGACTATACAAGAAAGAAATGGTGTTGAAGCAGCTGGGTAGCCATCTGTGAAAAAATGTTGATCCATATCTCACCAGATAGGTTCAAGGTTAATTTCAGTGTATCATACAGTTGAATGTAAAAAGATGGAACAAAAACACCTCATATTTGGGTAAGACCTTGTTATTATATAAAATCCATAAGAGAAAAATTGGTAAGGTTTTCTGCATAAGAAAAAGAAGAAAAACATGCATGGTATTAAAAAAACACCATAGGGCTTCCCTGGTGGCGCAGTGGTTGAGAGTCCGCCTGCCGATGCAGGGGACACGGGTTCGTGCCCCGGTCCGGGAAGATCCCCCATGCCGCGGAGCGGCTGGGCCCGTGAGCCATGGCCGCTGAGCCTGCGCATTCAGAGCCTGTGCTCTGCAACGGGAGAGGCCACAACAGTGAGAGGCCCGCGTACCGCAAAAAAACAAAACAAAACAAAACAAACACCATAAAGTCAAAAGACAAATGAAAAAGTGGGGAAAAATATTTACATCTCAATCACAGGCAAAGGGCTCAGTTTTCTAATATATAAAGAATTTGTTAGCAGTAAAAAAATAACCCAACAGAAAAATCAAAAAAGGATATGAGCAAAAAGGGCACACAAAAGGACATATGTATTACTTAAAAATATGGAAAATTTTGACTTTACATTCATGAGAGAAATACAAATTAAAACTTCACTGAGATACCATTTTTCAGATTCCAGTAAATTGTAAAGTTTAATATCACCCTGAATTATTTATATGTATATAGACACTCTCATTTACTGATGATGGGAGTATAAATTGTTTGTTTCATTGGAAGGCAATTTTGTAATAGCTATCAAAATTGTAAATTCATATTCTTTAAGCTAGTAATTTGACTTTTACTGGTGTATATTATAACTGAACATGTGTGCAGTGATGTGTACAAAATTGTTAATTGCAGCATTTTTGTAACAGCAAAAAATTGTAAACAACCTTAGTGTCCCTCAGTGGGGGAAAGTATGAAAATAATGTGGTATGTTCATATAATGATGTTCAGCAGCTGTAAAAAGAGAATAAGGAAGCTCTTTATATCTGACATGAAAAGATCTCTAAGATATATTATTAAATGAAAAAAGCTAGGTTTAACAATATAACAGTGTAGTATGCTCCATATGTGTAAAAGAGTTGGGAGGAGAATGTATAGTCATACATACATTTTAAAAGTCTCTGGAATGACACAAACCGTTAACAGCGTGTGTGTATGTTCTCGTGTGCATACATGGAAGGAAGTGAGTGGGTTAGGGCTAGGCATAGCCGCCTTTGCATAATGAGAAAAAAGAGAAATAGGTGCTGTTTCCTCCAGAACTTCTACTTCTGTTTCTTAAAAATTTTATTATGATATGCTAATTTTGTTAGCACCAGGCAGTTGGCAGCCATTCACTGGAAAATTTTAATGAAAATAGATAGATAACAGAAGGATTTGGGGGTGGGGGGAAATTCTAGACTAAGCTTTTTATTCTATTAAGCTTTTTCTCTAGGAAATTTAATTTAACCTTTAGTTCATTTATGATTGTTTGATAATAATAGTTGCATACTTGTATTAAAAATATTTGATTTTGTTAAGATCATCTTGTAATTTATTTCAGGTAAGATTTTTATTACTCATTAAGAAAGTGATACAGCTTGATGGCTGTACCTCTTTTTTTTGTATTTTGAACCATATGACCCCAAAATATATAGTTATATGAAAATATGTTGTAATGAAAAAGTAAAATACAAAACTACACATTCAATATCATTTTTCTTTTACTAAAATATTATATATATACATAAATATATAAGTTAATACCTGTGTTTATATAATAGTTATAATTGTAGATATTTACTATATATGTATATGTCATATGTATCTATATATAAATGTTTAGTAAAATAATAAATGCATGTCCATGTAGGTTTGTATGCATGTATATGAAGTGCATGTGTTAAGAAAAAGGGCTAGAAGGAATTAGACCAAATTGTAGTATCTCTTCGTGGTAGGATTTCAGATGATTTTTAAAAATATTTTCGTTATAAGCATTTGTATTTTTCCACTTTTTATATTATATAAAATTGATGATAAATGTTTTAATGGTATTTCTCTAAGAATTTTTACTGAAGCTTCTTTTTTCCTTCATGAAAAGAGTTTTTCAGCTTATATCTTTAATGGATACCGGATTGCCTCAGTGTTCTAATGAGAAAATAGAACTTGCAATTCTGTGGTTCTTGGATCAGTTTCGTAAAACATATGTTGGTGATCAACTTCAGCGAACCTCAAAGGTAGGTTTTTACTAGAGATTAAAATTAATGTTATTGAAGATGAAGAAAGGTGTTCACATGTAACAGCTTTAAGCTGAATGATATATTTGGGCAATTTCTACATAAGAAATTTAGTTGATCAATTGAAGTCGGTTGATTAATTGGTATTGAAGGCAATGTGAGATTGCTTGTTTTATGCCTAGATTTACCATTGTCTTTGAAGATTGATTGGCAGAGTTAGAGAATATTTTTTATGTGGTTAGTCATTAGTTAAGATTATTTTAAACACCTTAATGAATTTTGCCTTATTGTATTTCAAGGTTTAAAACATACGATTTACTCTTTTAGTAGTTCTGAGGGTTTTGGTGAGGGGTTTTTTTGATACTTATTTTTGTGGTTTCCAGTGTATTTTCCACTCATTTCTTGGCATTTTTACATGATAAATGATGAGGACAAGAAGAGTAAGACATGCCTTTGAGAGGCTGCAGTTAACTTAGTGAAGGGAACATTTCTACTATGGTGATTGAAAGTTTAGCATTAGCAAGTTCAGATGAATTGATCTTAAGGCATTAAGGTATTATTGAGGGCATTTATGTGAACCCTAACCAAATATTTAGTAGCACTTGGACACTGAGTAAGATCTATGAGGTTTTTTTTTTTCTTTTCTTTTCTTCCTAGAATAATAACTTTCCAAAACCTTCTCTGTTGGAAGTCCTAAGGATATTCTTATCTCCTTTGGATTTATAGTTTGTATTAGTAACGTTAAGAGATTAAGTTCTAGAATAAGCTTTTTATATTGAACTGAGCTTTTTTTTCCCTGGGAAATTTAGCTTAACCTTCAGTTCATTTATGGTTTTCTGTTAATAGTAGTTGTATAGTAGTATGAAAAGTATTTGATTTTGTTAAGATCATCCTTTAGTTTACTTCAGGTAAAATTTTCTTTGCTTTTTAAGAAGGTGATGTAGTTTGATGCTTTCTTTGTGAAATACATTGTGATATTTTATTGCCATTTAGGATTTGTTTTCATTCAGGATTAATATCAAAAAAATTTTCTTAGAATTAAGCTGACATTGAATGAGACAACTAGGGAGAAAAAGGAGTAGCTAGATATAACTGTTTTAGGTTGACAGTAAGACAAATTAGAATCAGACAAAAATTACATGGTATAAAATTTATACAGGGTACACATTGAATTATGATAAACTGTCTTGTTTTAAATGTACCCAGAGAGTTTATTTTGCTTTTGCAAAAGTGAATACTCTTGAAACATTGCTTATCTAATATCCATTTGGTCTGGGTCCTAAATCAGAACAGTGTAATATGGAGTGGAAAAGCCTTAAAATTATTGTGGTTAAAGCACTTGGAAATAATTATGTAAAATGAAATCGATTGTTTTAGGGCAATGGGTTTGAGAAGTTTTTTTTCTGAAGATTCTTATATGTATATAACTTTTAATATAAGGTAATTGTGAAAAAAGTGAATTATAAAAGATAAGTTTTTCTTTTTTGAAATTGCTTACATATTAGGAAAAAATAAACACATCATCAGACTGGTGTTGATTCTTTTATTTTAATTTTACTCTAACGTTTTTGATGCATCTTATCCTATTTTCAAAGAGAATAAGGTGATTTTATTTCTGAGGCATTCCTACTGCATAACCTTGAAGTGAAGCCAAAGCTTTCCACTTTTCTTTTCTTTTTTTTTGGCTTGTCTGCTGATCTGCCTTAGTAGGAACTGTTCTGGGGGTCCTTATTGTGTGCCCTGGCACTCTTCTAGGAACTCTTCACATTCTCTCTAGGTCTTATAACAAGCCTGCAAGTTTGGTATTATTGTTCCCATTTTACAAATGAAAGAAAAGACTGCCTAAGACATTTAAAATAAGTTCTCTACATACTGTTTTTCTGTCAACCAACTAAGGAGGACCAGATGGAAAATATTTTTTGGTGAGAGCATTCCGGATTATGGCAAAAAAAGGGAGAGCATTAGGTTAAAGTAAGCGAATAATGTTCAGTGTGTACTTATTTTGTACCAGGAACTTTCCTAAGCTCTCTTAAGCATTATGTCGTTTAATTGGATCATATAGAGTATGACTTAAAGTTCTTCCCAGTCTCTTTTCTATGTATGTCATCAGTTTCATGCTTCACTACTCCATACTTGTATTGCATACTTTATGTGTACTAAATTTTTTTCAGCTCCTTTAACAGTCTACGTTCTCTTTCAATTCTGGACCTTTGAAAAAACTTGTTTCCTTCGCCTAGGACACTATTTTTTTTAATTCAGCTTCCACTTCCCTGCCTTACTTAGCTAACTCCCACTTTTCTTTCACATCAGATACCCCATCCTTTAGGATGCTCTTCTTAACTTAAATTCTGGGAGAGTTTCTGTCCCCTATTTTAGAATTATTATACTGCATTGTAATTATTTCTTAGCAAAACATATAGAGACTATAATTTGGGTTAGGACTGTTCTGTCTTCTTTATTGTTATCACCTCCACATGCTTGGCATATTTCTTGTATGCTTTCTACTAGATAATGGTTGAATGTATATATTTAGTAGAATTTCATAGGAATTGTGTCTAGATATCATGTATAATACTTTCAGGTAATAAAGGGTATGTTCTTGAGTTGGAAAATGATGCTGACTTTAGTGAAATTGTTTGACAGTTTTTTATAAAAGATATATTAATTGATTTATTTTTAATTTATTTATTTTTGGCTACACTGGGTCTTTGTTGCTGCACACGGGCTTTCTCTAGTTGCGGCGAGTGGGGGCTACTCTTTGTTGTGGTGCGCGGCCTTCTCATTACGGTGGCTTCTCTAGGCACGGGCTCTAGGCGTGCGGGCTCAGTAGTGGTGGCACGCAGGCTTCAGTAGTTGTGGCTCATGGGCTCTAGAGCACAGGCTCAGTAGTTGTGGCTCACGGGCTTAGTTGCTCCACGGCATGTGGGATCTTCCCGGACCAGGGCTCGAACCCGTGTCCCCTGCATTGGCAGGCAGATTCTTAACCACTGTGCCACCAGGGAAGCCCTGTTTGACAATTTTAAGTAAGGTATACCATTAATAAGCATCTTAAAAATTCTATAAAAGCCTTCATATGCAAAATAATATAATTTATAGAAATAAATGCTCCAGGAACCAAGGTGGGAATCATTGAAGTGATTGTATAGAAGTATGTCCTATAAGTGAGAAAGAAAAGTCATAAATAGTAGCTGTAGGCATTAATTGAGCAATTAGTCTGTGCCAAAGACTTTGCTCAGCACTTGACAGGCATCTAATTTCATCTCACAAAAACTCCATGGAAATAGTTGTCTTTATTAACATCCCCACCACTTTTTACAGATATGGAAACTGAGGCTTGGAATAGTTAATTAATTTGATTAAGTGGTTGAATCTGGATTTGAACCCAGGACACTTGATAGAGCCTTTGCTGCTAACCACTTTGCTGTATTGCCTCCTGTTGGATCTTTGACAGGGGTATTGAATGGGCCTTTCAAGCTCAACAGGTTCTAAAAAGAAACATTGTCTTCTAAAATGCTTTCTACCTACTTTTCTATTTTGAGGAAGAATGACTTTTAACCCAAAATTTCCACTTTGTTCTTATTTCTTATGTCTAATCTGTCACCTATTCTTGCTGATTTTATTGCCTAAATATCTCTCAGTTCCACTCCTTTCTCAGGAGTGGAACTTTCCTTTTTATTCTTGTTACTGCTTACATTTCTCACTAGATTTCAAAAGTCTTCTGGTTGTACTCTTTGTTTCCTTTTTGCCTTCTTCCAGTCCATTTTCCATACTGCCACCAGAGTAATCTTTTCTTCAGTAGAAAACCAGAGAGAATAGTGTAATGAATAGTCACACATCCATCTTCCAGCTTTGTCAAATCTGAATGCTTTGCCGTATTTACTTCAGATCTGTACATTTTAAAATTAAATATTGAAAACATATTGCTCTGATTCTATTTGCCTCATTTCTTGCCCAAAAGTAACCACTACCCTAAATTTAGTGTGATTTTCATGCACGATATCGTTCTTTCCCACATTTCTATATATTTATTAACAAAACATAGTATTATTAACCTTATAGAAAATTATTAGGCAGAAACTTGCCTTTTTTGATCAACATTGTTTTTGAGATTTATCCATGATGATACATGTAGTTTTTGTTTGTTTTAAAGAACAGGTGTCATTCTTTTTTTTTTTTAATTTATTTGTTTTATTTATTTTTGGCTATGTTGGTTCTTCGTTGCTATGCACAGGCTTTCTTTAGTTTCAGTGAGTGGGGGCTACTCTTTGTTGTGGTGCATGGACTTCTCATTGCGGTGGCTTCTCTTGTTGCAGAGCAGAGGCTCTAGGTGCACGGGCTTCAGTAGTTGCAGCACATGGGCTCAGTAATTGTGGCTCGCAGGCTCTAGAGCGCAGGCTCAGTAGTTGTGGCGCACAGGCTTAGTTGCTCCATGGCATGTGGCATCTTCCAGGACCAGGGCTTGAACCCGTGTGCCCTGCGTTGGCAGGCAGATTCTTAACCACTGCGCCACTAGGGAAGCCCTGATATGTATAGTTTTAAGTATTTTAATTATTTATTGGTATTACAATATATTACTGTGCCATTATATATTCTTTCTTTTAATATACATTAGGTGTTTCCAGTTTTAACGTTTACAAAAAATACTGCAGTATGTATACTAATACCTATTTCTTCATGCATATGTATGAGTATCTTTTTTTTTTTTTTTTTTTTTTTTTTTGCGGTACGTGGGCCTCTCACTATTGTGGCCTCTCCCATTGCGGAGCACGGGCTCCAGATGCGCACGCTCAGTGGTCATGGCCCACGGGCCCAGCCACTCCGCGGCATGTGGGATCTTCCTGGACCGGGGCATGAACCCGTGTCCCCTGCATCGGCAGGCGGACTCTCAACCACTGTGCCACCAGGGAAGCCCTGTATGATTTTCTTGAAGGTAAATACTAGGAGTGGAATTGCTAGGTTGTGGAATGTTCATATCTTCAGCTTTACAAGGTATTATCAAG